CCCCGAAGCAGCAGTGTGACCTCCCCGATGTACAGAGTGAGTCTGTAGCTGAATCGTGGAATCTGGATCTCTGTCAGATGGTGTTTTGGTCAGAAAGCCAAGTGTCGGTGAGAATTAGAGCACAGCATTCTCTGATTTCCCATTGTGCTGTAATCCTGTTTCTTAGCTCGTCCAATTTGTTTTCCAGAGACTGTACGTTATCTAGGAAGAGGCTGGGTAGTGGCGGTCGGATAGCTCGAGCTTTTAGCCTAGCATGGAGTCCTCCTCGCTTGCCCCATCTGCGTCTCCATCTCCAGATCGCTGTCCTGGGGTCAGCCTGCTCACTCATGCCTGGTGCTTTGGAGGCTTCCCGGGGGGTGATGGTGATCGTTGTTGTTGCTGCGGGAGCGGACAATGAATTGTAGCTCCGGTGGTATGAAACCAGTAAATTCCCAGTGGCTGTGTGAGTTGGCGATATCCAGCGATGCCTGTCTGTTGTATGTTAGCAGTGCATGACATTTGTGCACTGCAGAAAAAGTAAAAAAAAACAGACAAAAAAGAAGAAAACGAAGAAAAAGCCGGCATTTGGAGGTGGAACGTGCAAACATGTCTGCTGCGGAGAAGGAAGCTCACAGGGCACACATTTGAGTTGATATGCAAACACTGCACAAGAAAACACTAGATAATACTTTACATCTTACAACCATGTTTTTCTGACATGTCATATAGTGCAGGGCAGCAATTCAAACTGGCGATTAAAGAAGGTTTCACATTAAAGCGTCCACCATATGGGACAGATCATGTTATCCAGTTGCCACTCACTCAACTCAGACTAAATTTGGTCAAAGATTTTGTATGTAATCTGATTTTTGGTGGAATTTATGGTTATTTTTAAAGCATGCAAGGATAGTAACAACCACTTTATCTAGCCAAGACTCATCTGTTCTCCCTGCTGTAATACCACCAGGCTGCCAGAGACAAGGATCTAATTTAAAACCCTGTTGGCTCTGTGTTTATATCTAATAATATCTGGTTGTGCTTCTTAACAGTCAAGACAACCAACATGCAGAAAGTTATTTGCATGGAACTGTAACATGGCTGATTCTGTCCCCTTCATGCCATTTTGAACTGGCGGTGGATCTGATAAGATGGCAAAGCTTCAGCTCTGGCAGTGGTCACTGGAGGGTTGGCGCTTCAGGGCCGACCAAGGCCACGCAGTAATGAGGAGAGGGCTGCCAGTCTGTAGCGAGCTGCTCAGTGTTGTCACTGAACAGATGGAAGGTTTCAGCTCTGCTACTTTGTTTCCAGGCAGATGAAATCTAAAGTCAAGTTTATATCATTTGGTTTTAATTAAATGTTATATTGAGGCTGCAGTAGGCCATCTTGTAGATGGAAAAAATACAGGAAGATCCAATAGAGCGTTTTGAAAATAGTTTAGTGCTGACAGTCTCAGTTTTTAATATAGCAGTACTGTATTTAGTTTTAACAGTTGTTGATATTTTTAGTTGGATACTGTGGGGTCATGCAGAAGATGGATTTTCAGGGCTCTTAATATTCAATTTGATGTCTAGTTGTAGTAGTTTCTTTTGTTTTTGCAGTGTGTAAAATATAGTTTAGGCTCCAAAGATAAAGGAAGAACAGTGCTGCTTGTTGGTAAAGGGCATTTCATGTAAAGGTGCATCAAAGTGGAAGAGTTGATTTGTCAGAATAACGATGCATATTATATACAGAGCAAGTGAGCTTATTCTACACCAGCTTTGTTTTGTACCGTGTGTATGAAGAAGCTTGAGCAGCATTGTTGTTGCTGCCCGATGAAGAATGTCATCTCAGGTGTGAAGACTCAGGAGCTTTCACACTTCCTGAAATAGCTTTATCACCCGGTTGCCGGGCAATCGTCATCTCCGTAGAAACATGGGCGAGAGTCCGAATGTGATTATGATGATGAGGATGAGGAGGAGTAAATATAGGACCACTTATGCTTTTGTGTGCTTAACTGCAGTTTAAAGATTATTGTTGCTCAGGCCTTTCACTGCCTACTTCAAACTAACTGATTTTTATTCACATTGATATAGTTTTAAGGAAATTATTGTTGTCTGTTGTAGCCTCAAATACATAATTACCTCCATTAAATTTAAATGAAAGTGAAACACCTTCTCCAAGACAAGCGGCTCAGATAATGGATGGGTGAACACACATTGTTAAGGTCACATTTGGGCTTAGCATAGTTGGGCGTACTTGAATCATATTTTTTATATTATTAGGTCAGCTGCAGAATAAAAGTATACCATGGTGAGACAAGCTTCCATATCCTTTGATTTGACTGATTTTATTATTAGGATCCCCATTAGCTGATGTAAAACGTCCTGGGTGCTGAGATATTGGACCAACTGTGTTTTCAGCCTCCTCTTCTGTGGCTGCAGTGAGGCAGTGACGGCCTGACAGACGGCGAGCACCAAAGCATAAACAAAGGTAGAGTGTGGGCGCAGACAGGCAGACAGGTTGTGTTTTTCTGAGTCGGCCCGCTCTTCTTCTGTCACACACACGGATACCAGACTGGTTTCTGGTGCATCACAGTTGGAGTTATATTTAGTTTGTATATGCCTCACAGGCTTCCTCAGTATGCCGATGTCAGGTGCACGGTTTATTTGCACTGCCGCCCAGTCTCCCTCCTCGCTATGAAATGCTAATAAGGTAAGCAGCTGCTTAGATATGCAGAGGTGAGAGGGGGATGTGGAGGAGTAAGCATGGTGGGGGGTGTTTGGTTTTTGACACCTGACTGCTCCTGCTCTGGGAGTCCTCTGAGCCCAATTAATGTCAGTTAGCATCCAAAACCAAGCTGTACCCCTCATACAGGCATTTCTTCATTGGTTTGTGACAGGGTTTGTCATATTTTAATTTAGTTTGAAGGGCTGCAGTGACCTCTGAGAGCTGAGCTAATTTCACAGCCTCGGGGCTTGAGAGAGCCATTGAAAGGCCACTGCAAAGCCTTTAAAATACAAGATCATCAACCTGAGGAAAAATTTTAATCAGTGCACTAAGATTCACCCTGTTTCCAATGCAAAGCATCTCATCTCAAGTGTTCACAAATATAAAGTTGAATCCTTTCTTGAGTAATTAATACAGATTGTGTTTGTTTACTAGAAGTAAAAGTGACAGGTTGTGATTTTGCATTTAGTTATGTACCAACCCTGAGCTTTGAAAGTAGGTGGATTTTCACCTTTGAGCCAGGCTAGCTGTTTCTCCATATGCCAGGCTAAACTAACTGTGGGCTGGCTTCATATTTGGCCCAGACACAAAGGAGTGGCATCCTTCTTCTCATCTAATGCTCTGCAACAGTAGCTGTGTTTCCCAAAATGCAGAAATATTCCTTTAAGACTTTGTATTTGTGCAAACAGGTGTGTTCGGTTCAGTTTTCTCTTCCTTCCTCACTATTTTATCTGTAGTTTTATGCAATGAAGATTGTGAATAATGAGGCCACATAATACCAGTGGAATTTTAATTTTGTTATTATTACCTAGGAAACACCTAAGTCCATTCAAAATGAATTTTCATAGCTCTTTGTCTGCTCCCTCATCCTAGTCTGGATCCTTTGAGTCCATGTAGATGATAACACTTTGTAGCCTACCTCACTTCTCCTCATTAGAAAAGCAGAACAATTGGCACCATTTTCTTATTTTGCACAAGGATTTCTGGTTGTTACATGTAAACGACGAGCATTGCATTCACATTCTGGGCAGGGTCTGTTCAGTCTTTCACTCTGTCATGTGTATGTGTCTATTTCCCTCTCCTACAGGCTAAAATGCAGCCCACCCACTCTGAATCCTATTTAGAAGGTCACTGGGGGGATTTCTCATGCTAACAGAGTGAGAGTCACACTGTGCCATCTTTCATTTCAGCTTTAGTGAAGCAGAACTTAATAAAAATAGCTAAATACTGATGATTCACACAGTGTTCTCAATAAATGCCCAAATCTTGGTCTGTGGATTATAAATTGTACAATTTAACAGAGTTTAGAGGAATATAAAATCCAGATACATGCAGCATTATGTACTGTAAAACATCAAGTACTTTTTTGCAGTATGCTGAGTTTTCCTCTTCATATCCTCTTTGGTGTGTGAATTCACCAAAGTGGCTTTTCATACTTTAGGGTGTAGGATATGGTTCTTCTTACCATGCTAACTCTGAGAGACGAGACAGTCCAAATAACTTCAAAACAGTGCTGATTTATTCAAAGGATCACAGGTAAAATTAACATTACACGCTCAGGTATCGTTCACCTCCACCATGCACGCAGGCAGTTGTAAGATGAAAGACCCTGAACCCACCAGGCCTATACATGATATCCCTTCGGTTGGGCTAGCCCCATACTACCCAGAAACGTCAACCGAGACGTCTCTGTTGCCAGCTTTGCAGCTGGCCATAGCAGTAGTCAAAACATGAAGCAAATCAATGTGTGTGTCTGTTGGTTAAGTGGTGTGTAGCTAAAAACATTCTCACGACCTCTAGTACATGTCGTGACTTAAACATAAGAACATATTATGGCTAAGGCTACAGTTCTACACGTCATAATAATAATATTAAACACCCTGTCTGCTGACAGTCATCAACTCTTCTCTCTAGTTATCCTTGACCAGATGTACCCTGTAGAAACTCATAAGCATGACTAAGCATTTAACAGTCTAACTAGACATCCTATCTCCACTAAACATTTCTAATACATAAAGTATCTATCCAATATCTATCTGACTAAAAATACCTAACAAGGGCCATGGTGCAATATTAATGCTGCTGCAGAGGCACTGAGTGCTCTGCAGCTGCCTCCCTCTGCTGTCCTCTGTCCCTCCTCCTCCTCCAGCCATCCTTCATACATTTACATTGAAAGTGTCAGAAATTAACCCGTTCTTTTGTTGGAAGCACGAGAAGTGACGACAGGAGAGGACTGTTTAAAATCAGCAGAATGTTTACTGAATGTCTGATCACAGGTAGGCCTTACAGTGCTGGGATCAGAGAGACAGAGCTCCTGCAGGAGTTCCATCCACTGACCCCGAATTAAGGTCTTACAATACATTTAATGTTCTTGGGCTGCTCTGCACTAAACAAAGGTACAACAATTCATGCATTGTAATCCTATTGGTCATTTGGTGTGTGCAGGAGCTCACACCTCCTTGCTGGAATGTGATCTACACCGCGTGTGCGTGTGTGTGCGCGATGCTAATCTGTATGTTACACTGCCCGGGTGGTCATCTCAGGTTGTGGGCCCCCGGTCTCTGCAGGACATCCCAAGATGAAGCAGAACTTGGAATATGCTACGTGGGTCTAGGTGTGGGTGCAAAACAGGCCAACTTGTCTTTGGTAAAATGTGAATAGGCTGTCTGGTCACAAAGAGATGCAGACATCTAGTCTCTACACAGAAGTTACAGCATTCAAAGTAAGCAGATTCTGCTTCATTACAGCTGTAAGATATATAAGCAAGGGAAACAAATGCATTAAAATAACCAAAGCTCAGTAGTTCTGGACAATCATCAATACAGCTGTAATATGCATAAAGAAGTAAGATAAAGTTATGAAAGGTAACTAAAAGGAACTACAGGTATGAGAAGTAACTAAAGCTGATAAAGTAACTAGAGTCTAAGACTCAAATCTTACAAAAGTATTTAGCTGTGGCGGCCAAATATTCATAGGGACATTGCTTTTTGGTCCTTCAATGTCGGCTCTTCCTATCATTGTGAAAAATGTGGAAATTATATTTGGAGTACAATGAGAGTGATAGGAATCATTGGAGATGTAATGGATGATGGTGTTTTGACAGAGAAATTAGCAACTTAATTGCTGAGGAGTGAGAGCAGTTCTCAGGCAGAGAGAGCTGTGCGAGGGTGTAGGACTGGTCCATGGCCATTTCTGAATGGCCTGTGCAGGAGGGACCTGCAGGATTGTGCTGTGGTTGTGGTGTGTCAACACAGCTGCCTTGAGAGTCTTGTTAAGAGCATTAGAGAATCCTAGAAGTGCAGCTAAATTAGCTGGGAAGATAACTGATGCACAGTGTAGGGTTGGTTTCAGTGGGGACACAATGAAGTAAACTCACACTTTGTAACCCTGAGATTTATGAACAAAGCCAGAGGCCAGCTAGAGCTGTTCTTTCTTATAAGAAACAACAAAAGTGCAGAAAAACTACACTTTATGTATCTGACATATAACACATGATGACAAAAGTCCTGCTTTCATTACAACAGTAGTCCAACAAGAATGAAGAATGCTGTGTAAATGGTTATATTACAACACAATAACCCTACTTAAAATCACATTTCATTTCACTGATAAAGACTTACAACATCTCTTATTAAGTGTTTTATTTGCAGCACAAAAAAATCATAATTTTTTTTACAGCTTGATTAGATGTTTTATCACCTATAAATACTGTTTCCAGCCCTGCATAGTGTCCACTAATCCTCCTGTCCAGGTGCAAGCAGCCACAGCGGACTCCACCAGTCAGAGCACACAGTAAGGGCAGCCTCTGTGTAGCTGAAGAGGTAAACCCTGGGCCAGAAATACCACAAAGATGTTTTACTTTCCTGTTTAGCATTTTTACATCAAAAGTGTAAAAGTGGGGGTGAACAAAAGGAGGATTTTGTAAAGTTAGGTGGACAGCTACCTGCTGCGTGATGGCCCCTCCCTCACACCGCACCACCTGTCTTGACTGATTGAATTGTATATTGGGAAACATACACAGCTACAGTACATTTTGTTGAGCCTCAAAGTAATTTAATTGAGTAAGTAATATACTTTGAGAGGACCTCGGCTTTAACCCTGAGGGATGCCAGTGGAGGAACCGTGACCGTAACCTGTCTTTGTGTCTGTTTATTTGTCTTGCAGGATGACTTCCTGTTCAGTGTGTCCATCATCAGCGGCTTGCTGTGCATCATCCTGGCTGTGATCAAGTTCATGCTTGGGAAAGCGCTCACAAGTCGAGTCCTGATCACTGATGGTAGGTGTAGTCACAGACAAAGATAAATGTTTGGGTCATTCTGCTTCCAGATCAAGGGCATAATCTGTAAAGTTGCATAGTTTTTAAATAATGTGTAACAAGGTGGTTGTTTCTGACCTGAACTGATTAGTCACAATCATTCTTGTCTTTCAGTTAACGCTCACATTTTCCATTCACCTCAAAATGATGTGTTGTTTCTTTTCTCAAGTACACTTATTTCCTAGTAACAGCACTGAAGTGTTACTTCCTGCTCAGACTCACTCACGTCTATAACTCTCAGCTTTCTCTGTCATGGAATAACAGATACTAACTGTCATACAGTGGTTCGTCACCTAAGCAGGGTTGTAGTTTAACAAGATGGCTGTTCAGATGGTTTTCATCAGGTGTTTGTTTTCTCTTTCCAGGATTTAACTCCCTGGTGGGGGGAATCATGGGGTTCTCTATCCTCATCAGTGCTGAGGTGTTTAAGCATGAACCCAAAGTGTGGTACCTGGACGGAACAATAGGTGTCCTGATTGGCCTGGTCATCCTCGCCTATGGGGTCAAGTAAGTCGTTACAAAGTCAGAAGCATTTGTGGGTGTAATATAGATTATAGACTTTGACAGAAATGTGTCGAAAGTATTGCAGTTCTGCACAAAGTAGATATTGGATTAAACTTTGCACAAGTATTTTTAGCTACTGTGTGGAAGTACAGGGGACAGTGTGTATAATGCTCCCTATATGCCATCTCCTCTTCTTCTTTGACCTCAGGCTGCTGTTGGACATGATCCCACGAGTCCGACAAACCAGGAACTACGAGCGTTTTGAGTGATGGACCACAGAGGGAGAAGAGGGGTGGAGGGATTGGGAGAGATGAAGAGGGGGTGGCTGTCTGACTGGCAGGAGAGGAACGGGGGTTGCAGTGCCTTCGGTCTTTCCACAGACAATCATATTGAGTCTTCGAGGTGCCTGTGGAGGCTTCGGTGTCTGTACAGTCTCCCATTCAGAGATGTGAGTTGAGTATCCGGGCAGATGATGACAGTGTCAGCAGAGATAACTTTTGGTACCTTTTAAGTGTTTTACAGTTTGATGTGCATATAATATATTTATCTGTCTTGTAACAGTGAGTGGGGCGGTCTTTTCTCTCGTGCCTCCATATTTGAACATGAGGGTTAAAGAGATTAAAGCTGTGAAAGCGAGTTAAACTCGCTTAAAAAGTAGCTGACTGTGTTGTAGAAGTAAAAGAAACAAGCAAACAGGACAGAGACGAGGTTGGACCACAGTGTCCAGGAGACGTGTGGTCCACAACTTTGTAAAGGCAACAGATGTTTGTACAGCAAGTTGATTTACAGTACTGCAGGTCATCACTCTGTAACAAAGTACAGTAGCAGTTTATTTTTCCCATGGCTCCTTGAGGCCTTTGCTCAGTTGTGCTGTAAAATATGGTGCAGTGCAACAGGTCAAACTGATGTAGCAGTGGAATATTAATGGTGTTTTACCATTTCTGTGACTACACGAAGGGTATATCAGTACCAGGCCCGTTTGGCACAGTGAGCAGGTACATGAGCACACACAGAGGCTGCGTAAGATGATTTGTGGTTTACAATATTTATCTAGACGGTTGTGGCAGGAGCAGGAACTCTGAGTGGGCACGGATTCACCTACATACCTGATGCCAGTGACATATTACAAGAGGATTTTTACTTTTCATTTGTGAAGCTGACACAAATTTGTACCTTCACTACCTGCACCATCTGCTGACCAGTAGAGGTACCTGCTGTATAAATGTGAATGTTGTTGAATGTGTATCAAACACAGCTGTGCTTCTATGTACACCATCCCCTGAAGTGTCCTACAGATTAAGCTCTTTGCAGAGATGACATTTAAAGGTCAGATACATGAGGGAAAAGAAGTGTCAGCACTGAGTTTATTAGAGATGCAAGTTTTCAGTCATGCCCTTTTGTTGAGGGTTGAGGAGCTTGGGCCATTGCACATGTATGAATATGTGTAACCTTCTAGTGTGGCCAGGGTAATGCCTGACAAAGGTCCACTGTGGAAGCTTGTCTGTACTGAACTCTACTTGAACTCCTTTCCCCTACTCATTACTTTGAGTACCTACTTTGAAATATTTCAACATAGTGTGAAGGATTCCCCCATCTAGCAGCCTCAGTGCTGGTGGTTCAGTTCCCTAGTGGTCAGGACATAGAATACTCCATGAGTCAGTTCACTGGTGGTCAGGACATAGAATACTCCATGAGAGTGAGGCCAAACTGTTGCCAGGTTTACACTGAAACTGGGTGACTGTTGGGTCAGCATGTCCATTTCAAAGGCTACATGTCAGAGCCATGTAAGCATCGCTTTGGAGTCAGTTTGATGCCTGGTTGTTTTGGCTGCTGATCATGTTCCTGATTCTGTACCGATGAAACTAGTCACATCACACAAGCCAGTATTAACCCTGTCAATACTGGATCCAGAGTCAATTTGTGTCCTCTCTTATCTTGAGTTTCCATTTGTACATTTTCAGGTGAATTAAGTATGTTGACTTGTGGAGCAATAGCTTGGTAATATAGCTGATTCATGTTAATCATGTATTTATTTATTTAAGACGAAATACAACACCTTTTCTTTATAAGATATATGGAGGTTTTTCTGGTGTTAGTGGACCTTCCACTTGCCTAAAATCTACCATCAGCTTGGCCTTTCTTTATTTTCCTCCAGAATGGCTGCCAGTTGGAGCCACAGCTTATACTGTAGCAGAGAAGCTGTTTATTTGTAGGAAAAGTTAAAAAAGGTGAAACGTTTGTCATGATGATGAAATGTTAGCCTGCTAAATTAAAATGATAAGGATTCAGAACATCAAATTCTTGGTCAAAAATGTGACTTAATGATTTTGTCTCACTGTCTCTTAAGGATTAGACTCGGGAATAACTTTTTTTCCCCTTTCCTGGCAGAAATGGACTTCCATACAAAGCTGACTTTAGAATTATAGAACTTTTCAGGTGCAGTTATTTTGTCATATCCAACAGTGAACATTCAGACCCACTCAGTGTTGGTGACACTGCAGCACAGAGCCATTGTGGAACTCAAGAGTCTGATATTATTATAAGCACGAGTGACAATAACCGGGAGTTAACCAGCTCTTTTAATGAGTCTCTTAGTTTATTTTACTCCCTCCTAATGTACTGAGACTCTAGAGTACAAGAGGATCTGATTTAAGAGAAAATTTGGCTTTTTAATGCATGTATCACATAAGATTCCATACCCATGGGATTTTCTCTCTTCCCTAGTGGAAGCTCCAGTAAGCAGTATGGTTTAAGTGACTGTGGTCTTTTAGATGTGCTTGTTTATTTTAATTTTAGCAGGTGACTAGCCTTTACCACACTGCAGTCAAGCAGTTCACTAACAGACCACTTTGAATTAAACCTCTGTAGGCTAGCCTAGTTCCATAGGCACCTCACTGCCTTGTAGTCATGGGTTTATTCACCAGATCTCTGCCAGGATAAGGATTCTACAGTGATACATCTGGAGCCTGGTCACCATGAATGGAGGAGGCTCTTACCTTGTGGTCCTGAAGGAACCCCTTTCCTCCCTGGGTTGTACTTGAGGAAAGCAAAAAGAAAAAGTACTGAAAAATGTAACAAATCTTTAATAATGTTTAAAAATGACAGAAATTCAGTAAAATGGGATACAAGAGAATTGAACACATTAAAGAAGTCTGCTAATCTAAATGATGAAGAGGCCTCAGAAGAAAAAGGAAAGGGAAGCAGCAGCGGCATCCCCGATCCTCTCCGGTACTGTCTTTTTAATCCTTTTCAGGCAGTGTGCAGCTCAAGGGGTGAACAGCCTTAGCATCACGCTATCATACCCAAGAGTACACATCTCATTATCTGATTGGTGAACAGTACAGTCTGCCATCTTACACATGTACAGACAGTCCCTTAAAAGGCAACAAACCATAGCACTTGAGTTTCAATAGGACAGATTCAACACAAAGCAATGAGTTTCCACTAGAAAGCTAAACATGGCTATATTTTGACATCTGTGCTCTTCTTAAAATTACACTTGTGTGTTGTAGTATTAAGTGCGTGTCAACACAGAGCCATTGTTTGAAATAGCTCTACATCTCTGAACGAGCTGGCTGTGACTTGGTGAAGTAGCTAAACATGACCATATGTTATGTGCAGCTGTTGCAGACTGGCTGCACTAAGAGAGACAAGAGAACAGCTTAGATGCAACGCAAACACTTTTTTTAGATATAATATGATTTTAGCAAGCCATGTATAAAGGTATTAGTCAAAAATTAGGAACTGATAATGAAACATAAATTCAAGTCAAAGTATTATAATGAAAGGAATAAACGTCAACAATTCACATTTCCTCTCATTTAATGATATACCTATTAAAGTGAGCCTAGAGCTGAACAGGCTTTTGCTGTAATGTATAACACAGGCATCATTAAAACAGTACTGTATATAGAGAAGCACAGGTCATCATTCATAGCAAACAGTCTAATACAGCAGTCAAAGGATCACACTATTCTCAAATTATATTTCATTTTGGCTGATAACGTTGAAGAGAATCTCATGCAGAGTACTCAGGTGACATTGCTCTGCACCAAGGTTAATAGACTAATCATCTTGTGGTTACAGTGAATTAATAAGTTGCATTTATTATATTTATGATCACAGAAGAAAAGGGAGATCTGCACCATACCAAGGGTCTGAAACTTAACACTGTCTTGGGGCTTCAACAATATAAAGACAAGACTGAGTAAAGACACAGATACTGACACCATCTCTATATTTTTAAGGCATTTTAAAGCTTCTGCTGGTATAAATATATATATATATGGAAGTTAATTACTGGATGTATATTCTGTATTTAAATTACTGGATGTTTATTCTGGTACATGTGAAGATGTGAAACAGGAAACTAGAAAGTTTATGCCAGTTTTAATGTTTACCATTCTCTCTCTGCTTGCTTACCAGATAAATGCCTATAATTTAGATACTGATATTGATCCTGTTCTGCTGTGAAGTGGTTGTTTTCCAAATGTCTGTTACCAAAATAAAAGTTGAGAAAAGACATTTTCTTTATTGACATCTACAGACTTGTTACCCACAGCCAGTTAACTAATATACCAAATAACTGGGCTCATAAAGGTCACATTATCTACAGATCTTAAAGACTCAGTATATATATGGATTGGTATACAACATGTGAATGATGGCTCAGTATTTATCTGATAACTACAAGTTAGAAACACAACATGATGTAATAAGAAGGTACAACCTATGGTTATGTTTCACTCTAATCCATTTATTTCATAATGATTCAATTCTACAAATAATATATATTGTAAAACATCCTTTAATTTACAATACACAAAGTTAGTTTTCAAGGTGGTTTAATGTAATAAAAATAGTTATTTATTGGTAAACTTTGCTGTTCCCTGTAGAAAATTTATCAGAATCACCCAATTAGAACTATTTGAAGCTATATGAGTCATGTGACCTGCTACGTTTTTGACACCTACATCACAGCTACTTCCTGTTACTCTTGCTATTAATTGTGCTGAAGATACTGTGCTGTTTGTATATCTGTAGATTAATTTCACAAAGTTTAAAAAGTGATTTCCAAAACATTTCCAAGGTCCTGATCCTCAATTAGGTGATTATAATCCAGTAGCTAAGACCACATGTTCTTGTTGGGGAGATCTGCCTTTAATGGACCCTGAGGAAATTTCAGTGATGCCAGTTTTAAAAGCTAAATGTGGATTAAGGTTAGAATCACTGTTGAACAGTGTTATAGGTCTCCATCCAGCAGTTTTAGGTCTTTTCCCAGCGTGGAGGTGAGTGTGGCTTCACTGTATGTGGGAGGGTCCAGTTTGCAATTATTTATGTAAAGAAATTAAATATTATATCTGACATCTAGCCTGCATCTACATTTCAGTGCTTTCTCTAGTTCTAGCATTTTTTTTTATATAATACCTGACTGACAGAGGTCAAGTCCGACTTCACTTCAGACCAGAAGCTTTTAATGTTACCTGTACCCGGAGAGGAGTGTGGTCCCGACTGAAAGCTGGATGGAGGACGGTCATTCATGTGGGGTAGGTTGTGTTTATGAGTCGTTTGTCTATTTCTGAATTGTTTCAGTGTCAGCGAGCTTTTACTGCAGCAGCAGCTCCTAGTGATGGCCGATGAGGCTTTGTTGAAGCTTCGACACAGTATTCATAAAAATGGTTCATTACTCGAGGCTTCAATGACACAGTGCTCCAGTAGGACATCTAGTGGTCAAGAAAGTGAAGTGCAGTCAAGACGTGTCCGGTTCATGGATTGTTTGGGATTTGATTCGCCATGCATATTCCTGTTTCACTACACTACATGGTTGTATGGGTTCAAACTGACACAGTAAAATATTAAATAAACATGGACTCATGTTGAAGACCATGTTTCTGATTGTAACCCTATATGCTCCTCACTTATATTTTGTGTTATAAAACATTTAAATGGTGCTGCTACATTCATGAGATGTGCTCTACAAATTCAGACAGATGTCATTTTCACATGGGACTGGTATGGGCTTTGGCAAAGTATGTTTTGGGGTTCATTGGTAAAGAGGTTCATGGGTATGTGGGTAAAGTGAGTGTGCTTGTGTAACTATTACCTAGATATGTATATCAAGCTAGATACAGTGGTGTGAAAAAGTGTTTGCCCCCTTACTGATTTCTTATCTTTTTGCATGTTTGTCACACTGTAATGTTTCAGATCGTCAAACAAATTTATATATTAGTCAAAGATAACACAAGTAAACACATCATGCAGTTTTTAAATGAAGGTTTTTATTATTAAGGGAAAACAAAATCCAAAACTATAGAGCCCTGTGTGAACAAGTGTTTGCCCCCCTGTCAAAACACTGGTTTATCGCACCTGAGTTCAATTTCTCTTGCCACACCTGTTCGCAATCAAGAAATCACTTAAATAGGACCTGCCTGACAAAGTGAAGTAGACCAAAAGATCCTCAAAAGCTAGACATCATGCCGAGATCCAAAGAAATTCAAAAACAAATGAGAAAGAGAATAATGGAGCTCTATCAGTCCGGAAAAGGTTATAAAGCCATTTCTAAAGCTTGGGGACTGCAGACAGCAGAATTCATGGTTCCATTTATCACAGCAAGTCTTCCAGGGCCTGAAGCAGCAAAAC